GGTATTCTGGCGTCATGGGCGTCATGCAAGGGATCAAACATGCATTATTTGGTCTCAGGAACACATTGAAATTTTTAGTTTGAATCAAAGTTTCATAAATATTAAAATACGAATTTCATAAAAATGCAAAACCGACGATGTATGAAAATTCTGAAAAATTGATTACGTGCGACATGTTCGATAAAGTGTCAAGTTATATTTTTAATATGATTTCATTGGAAATAGAAAACCTTTGTGTTTGATATTAAACTATTAATTGAGATATTATTACGTTGATTGATTTATCATTATCTTAATTCTATATGGTTTGTGCATATCCGAATTTCTAATAATTAGGTTCGTTTAAACCACCATTTTAATCTACTGCTCAACATTATTTTTCAAATAAATTTTTAAATAACAATTTTAAAATATAATTTTTAATTGAAGATCTATTCACACTCCCTCTAAATAAATCGTTATAGTCTAACACCATGTTTACCAAAATCAATTAAAAACATATAATTCAATTAATAATTAAATAAAATGTAACTAAATTCAATTAAATAAATTAATTGAATTGAGATTGTTACACCCAACACCTGTTCTCCCTATCTATGAGATCCCTTAACTCCATCAGCCCTTGAGAGTAAGGACTTATGTGTTAGGAGTTTAAATCTACATAAACCTGGAATTCAGTTATCAGTCCAATTGTCCACTTTATGCCAATTGTCTATGATCCAACAACTTCCTCTTTTAATGATCCAACCACTGTTAACGATGCTTCTCCAAATGTTGTTGGGCTTTCTACCTAATTGAGCGGGGAGGATATCTACCTTAGGGTAATACCTAGCCTTGAAAATTCTAGCCACTAGAGAGTTAGGATTTGAGTGAAGTCTCCAAAATTATTTAGTCAGGAGAGACTCGTTAAACTCATAGAGGGATCTAAATCCCAAACCACCTTGATCTTTGGTGTGCACAAATTCTGCCATTGAATCTAGTGTATCTTCTTGCCATCAGTGTGATCTCCCCACCAGAAATTAGCTATGATGATGTCCATTTCAATTGTTTAATTTCTTCCTCATTCTGTCCAAGATAAAGTTGAAACTTTGAACTTTTGAACGATCAATTATATTTTTATTAAAATACATAATATATTTATACATGAGATTTTGAATCCTCCGTAAAAAGATTCATTTTTCTTTCGATTTTAAGAAAACAAAAATATCAAATATTTAAATTGGCAACATGTATTTTTGAATATTAGAGTCATTTTTAAGGATATACAAGACGGATTACCGTCATTATTCAAAATCAATAACATACAGGGAATAATCAAGATTAATCATATGATAAAATCAATAGAATACAATTAATTGAAAGAAAATTTTGAAATTCAAACAAGAAACTACAACATAAAACTAAGACATAAAATGAATCTTGATTACATGATACACTTTATCAAACTCCAAGCATAGTCAAATCTCTACTTTTACTTGAATCTTAGACTCTTTATTTTTCTTTCACCATATGTATAGTTTTTGCATGTATAAGTGTGACATACTCTCAAGTTCATACATACTGTGAAAATGATACCTTTGAAATAAAGTATAAATTTTTTTTTTTTATGATAAAAAAATATATAGGATAAAAAAAATGATAGAACATGAAGAACAACAAGGATTGATTATAATTATTATTCATTTCTTTCTCTTTAAACAAGATTACAAGTACACAAGAATAATAAATAACCTTCTCACTCTAAATTAGGATTTGTTGTATGCAATTATGAGAGACTAGTATGTTATTTATAATAAACCTAACATACTAAACTAATGAGTTTTTTTACAAATACTTATTACAAGCTAACTTAGGGTGCAAACTAACTTAAACAATTGGACATAATAAACAGGTCCAATTCGACATGCTAACAACCCTAGCATTTTTGACAACTGCATGCTTGACAGTACTTCGACTACAACATACACTTCTTCAACACTAACATGTGAGAGACCTTTGACTACATGCCTCTGGCGAACTTGACGAACCCACGAAGCTATCCTTCGATTGAATTGAGTTCGATCTAATATCTTCCATAAATATCCACCTTGGAACAAACTCTACTTCATCAAGAAAACACACAAGTTTTCTTCATGTAACTTTATCAACTGCATACAGTGGAAAAACTTGCAACTTGGTAATGTCTTGGTGATCATATCAGCAACGTTGTGATCTGTCAAAACCTTCTGCACTTAGACTTCTCCACGCTCGATTACCCCTATGACAAAATGCAGCCTCACATCGATGTGTTTGATTCGCTCATGATAGGCTGAGTTCTTCGACATGTGTATTGCACTTTGACTATCACATTTAACAGTGATAACATGACCTTGAAGTTTCAGCTCCTTAGCAAAACCATCAAGTCGCAATGCTTCTTTCATAACTTTAGAGAGGAAAATATTTTATGCTTCAGTGGTTGATAAGGCAACAACCTTATGAAGTGTCGCTTTTCAACTGATTGTTGTCCCAAACATAGTGAATGCATATCCAAAAATATATTTTTTGGAATCCATACAACCTGCATAATCAGAGTCAACATATCCTTTGATTACCGCTTTACTATCTTTACCACAGGCTCCACCATAAATTAGGACTATGTTCAGAGACTCATTTATGTACCTTAGAATCTACTTCAATGCTTGCCAATGAGCCTTTCTAGGATTCTCCATATATCTTCTTATAAGACTTACTGCATATGCTATGTCGAGTCTAGTAGAAACCATTGCATGCATCAATGAACCTACTATATTAACATATTGGATTTTATTTATATAAGCTCCTTTGATATCAGTACTGGGTCACTGATCTATACTCAGCTTGAATTGAGGGTTTATTGGAGTCACAACAGGCTTTGAATTCGATATACCAAACTTTTTGAGAATCTTCCACAGGTATGCCTCTTGAGATAAGCATAACTTCAACTACTTTCTATCTCTTCAGATGTCAGTCCCAAGAGTCCTGGATACAACTCCTAGATCCTTCATGTCGAACTCTTTATTGACTTCAACCTTCACCCTCATTACATATTCAACATTATTGTTTTCTATGAGAATGTCATCCATATAAAGCAACAAAATAACAAATGAATTACCAGGTCGAAATCTGAAGTATACACAGTGGTCGAACTGACTTCTAATGAAACTTAAGTGTGCCATGAACTTGTCGAATCTCCGATTCCACTGTCAAGGAGATTGTTTCAGTCCATATAAATATCTCTTCAAATTGCATACATAATCTTTCTTCCCCTTTTCGACATTCCCTTTAGCTTGCTTCATCAGGATTGTTTCATCTAGATCACCATAAAATAACGCAGTCTTATTATCCATTAGTTCTAGTTCAAGGTCAAATTGTGCCACCATGGCAAGCAACATTCGAATGGGGTTGTGCTTCACAACAGGAGAGAACACATCATTGAAGTCGACACCTTCTTTTTGAGTGAAACCCATTGCCACCAATCTTGCCTTGTATCTTTTTGACGCCACTCCTTCAATTCCTTCCTTAACTTTGAAAGCCCACTTACAGCTGACTAACCTGGCTCCAGTAGGTTTCTTGATCAGTTCCCAAGTGTTGTTATCATGAAGAGACTTCATCTCATCATCTATGTCCTTCAACCATTCAGACTTATTTTGACTCCTCATAACTTCCTTATGGTCTCTAGGTTCTTCGTTTAGAACCTCACTTGTAGAGATTAAGGCATAAGCTATAAGATCTACATACTCAAGTATCTAAGATTCCTTGATGACTCTTCTCGGCCTATCTCTTTCCAATAGATAGTCATTGATAGTTTCCTCAACTTCCTTAACATCTTCTACTTCTTCTTTGACTTCATCTGGGATATGCAATTCATCTGGATGTAATTATTTTGTTTATTAATCGTGAAGATAATTAGGAATAGAATTTTAGGTTCAGACGGAATTATCAAACAAATATAAAAAAGAATTTGAAATAATATAATTGTAGGTTCATGTACGAGTCACTCATGGGTTCCAACGGGAGAATTTAATTTCTTTTAACATTAAAAAGTACGTGCTCGTAGGTTTTAAGGACTTGCAATATGATGTAGGATCAATGATGGGTCATTATGAACTCTTAAGAATGTTTTAAGAAACTTTCTCACTATATTATCCGAAAAAATTGAAATAAGACAGGAAGAATTTAAAATTAATTACGTCGACACTAATAGGGAGAACGAAATAATGGAGTAATACTTTGTCGAGTGGTACCATTTGTAACTAAGAAGACCTAGAAAAATAGTTTGTTGGGGGAGTTCTATCCGATGAGCAAGTTTGAAAACCAAGTGAAGGACATTCCAACCTTTGAGCAAGGTGATACAGAGTCTCTCTACGATCCGTTAGAGAGGTTTAAATTTATGCAAAAAAAAAGATGGAAATCGCATGGCCTTGACATAATGGCACAAGTAAAGTATTTCACACAAGGAGTGAGAGGTAACACTCGAATGATCCTCATTCCTCTACGACTGGTATGATGAAAAACAAGTATGATATGGAAGAACGAGAACATGACATAAACTAAGTACCATGCACTAACATTAAATGTGCCATAAGAAAAGGAGTAGTATCACTTGACATTCAAAGTTTACGTTTGGAAAGTCATAAGTGGATGAAATCCCAAATTGAAGCACTCACGAGAAAACTTTCATATGATACCATACGAGTACAACATATGCAACATGCACAATAGCTACAACAAAATCTAATTTTACATGGGACTTTTATGGTGAAATTCATGCCAATGGTCAATGTGTTCTTGAATACACCCTAATTGAAGAAGGAAACTATATGGGCAGCTATTAGAAATGAAATGCTCACTCTATCACATGTAATTCGGGTTGGAAAGACCATCCTAACTTCATATGGAATAATAATCAAGAGAAAACCTCAAGGAAAAGATCACAATATTATTAACAATAATAAAATCAACAACTAGGGAAACCTTTCTTTATGGAGAAAACAATCACTCAATTCATGAAGATGACATGTAGAAATTTTGAAGTTATCAAGGTAAGGTTACTTGCTTCGAATCCCATCACCAACCATTTTTTATTTTTCTGTTACAAAATAGGCTTGTTCTTATACTCTTATAAATATATTAAAATTAATATACATATTACTATGATTATTACCAGAAATGGTTGTGAGTAATACTTATATTTTATCATGATTTTTGTTAACAACTGTGGTGATAAGGTTTACATATATATATAAGCAAAGTTATCAAGCTTCAACACAAAATAATCGTCACTCTCAAAGAAAAACCCTAAGATCTCTCTCTTCCATATACAACAATCTCTTCTTCATAAGCTTCTTCATACTAAAAGGTAATCAAGTTCATACATTTTATCTTTTTTTATTCATAAGCTTTCTTCCATGTTATTCATATGTTTTCTTCCATTTTTCCGTGTATAAGTTCTTCCATTTTTCTTTATTTTTCATAAGTTTTATTCTTTATCATTCCATTTGGTGTTACAAAGGGTTTTCACTTGGCATAATTTTCGTGTTTTTTGGGTTTTCTCTACTGTAATATTTGTTTTTGAAATGGATCTCAATTATCATATATGTTCCGTGTATGACACTGACTCTTCTTAAAAAGAGTCTTCATTTGGAATGATTTTGTTTTGTTTTTTTGGGTTATCTCTACTTGGATATATGTTTTTGATATGAATCTAAGTTACCATATTTGTTCCATGTATGACACTAGTTTTTGAAATGATTTTCGTGTGATGTCTCTACTTGAATTTTGAAGATGATAAAGACATCATTGTATTGTATGACTAGGTAGTCTACATGTTTGAGTTAAGTTGGTCTCTAATTGTGTTAACTAACTACACTATGTAAAAACATAATTCCTTCACACTCCAAACACAAACCATATTTATTTTATAGCCACAACAACATATAAAATGCCATAACTGATTATATACATTTTTACTTGTAGGAAAGGTGAATAAAAAAACTTATTCAAGAAAGCACATAATATGGGTGTGGTTCACAAATTGTTTATGTTGCCATGAAGAAAAATTACAAGGAGGATGAAGCGGATGTGAAAGCTGCAAGCTTGTGTGAAAGATCTAAAATGACATCCATTAAAATTTAATACAAGTTTACAGCTCTTTCTTCAGCTTCATCATCCTTTCATTGTGGATACCATTCTGAGACAAGTAGATAATTTATTTGTGTTTATTCTTACAAATCTTTTCAATAAAAGGTATGTTTGTGAATGTTTTAGGAGTTGATATATTGTTGTTGTTCAAAATTTTTGGCTTGTTGAGGTTTGTTCATGTTTTTGTATGTCCTATAACAAACTTGTTGATAAAAGTTGGATGTTGTTGATGGTTTTATTTTTGTTGATAAATATTGCATGTTGAATGTCCTAGAACAAACTTGTTATAAAAGTTGATGTTGTTGATGATGATTTATATGTTGTAAGTTGTTGATTTTTAATGATATACCTTATATATTGTAGGTTTCATTACATTAAACTAACACTTCTATTAGATGAGTTTATTATGTCATATGTGATTTGAGTGTTTTATCAGTCTGTCACTAACTAGATGACATTTCTAATTGAATTAGAAATTTATAATATTAAAAGTTAAGTGATTTTAGAAAACAACTTACATTGATAAATGTTTTTGACCTTTCTTCATTCCTTTCTACGTAAATTTCTCCCTCCTTTAGAGTTATAATTTGGTTTAATGTTTGTAGCTCTTCAATCAACACTTCCTTCTTTACTAGTTCGATGAGCTAGTAGAGAATGGAGTGTTGGTTGAAGAGTTACAAGCATTAAACATAATTCTAACACTTAAAAAAGCGAGCGAGATACAGAGAATGAAAGAAAAGAAACTCGAAAAACATTTATCGTTGTAACTTGTTATTCTAATATAACTTAATCTGTCATATTATTGATTTCTATATCACATTGAAAGGTTATATGTTTAGTGAATAATCGGTAAAATAAGCATTTCAGATATGTTATAATAAAATTAAAAGAATATATCACCACTGTTGAAAGAAAAATCGTAGTGGAATTACTTTTCACTATGATTATTTAAAACAACCATGGTTATGGATAACACGCTTTCCAATTTTCTATAATGAGAACTAGATCGTGATTGTAAATAACCCACATACAATCATACCCTACATAACAACAGTTATTCAACCGTTATTATAGATATTTCAATACCATTATTAAAGATTTTTTTTTGTAATAACGATATAATTATAAAATATTGAAGTACCTCTAAAAGAGAGAACCCAAATAAATAACCATCTTCACCAACTCAAAATTTGTAGGCCAACCATTATGTTTATCTTAACAAATTCAAGAATAAAAGAGAGAAGGGTGTAAGTGCAGTGGCTCTACTAAAGGATAAAGACGGATTGGTAGATGGCAATCATAGTTCAAGAGAACCAAGAAAAAAAATCATGAAGTCAAATCAAGTTTCTATCATATTTCATTATTTCAAAGAAGAAAGTTGGGCAAAACATGTCCATGACTATTAAAGAGGAAGTTATTGTTGACTATTAAAGAGGAACTTGGGTGATGAGGCGTCCAACTAATGATATTAAAAGGCATTGCTTAGGAGGAAATCCAACAGTGGTAACCAGGTTTATCCAAATCTTAGTTTTAAATTTTAATTGGTTTCATTTTTCTTATATTTTATGTTTAAATGGTAATTGAGTTAGTAGTACTCGTAACACCAATTCCTTGTATTGTTTATTTTGCTTTTTTTTAATGAATATGTATGTCTTATGAGTTTATACAATTTAACAACATTTCAATCCCTTAGTGATGATAAGAAAGAGTTTGATTGTGAAAGACACCAGATGCATTAATGTGATTGCCCAAGTATCTATGGAAGTTCAAAATGGATGGTTGAATGATAAATACATATAATGAATTCCATCTTAAAGTTTGTTCAACTTCTAGATACCTAAGTTAGTGAGAACTAATTAAAATATTTCATTTCTTACTTTTTTAAGAGAGCACCCCATGCATTTATCTGTTTTCTAGAATTTGATTTTTCTTATTTATGTTTAATTGTCATAATTATACACACAACGAGACTTTTTTTTTTGGATACCTAGATTCTTTTAAGACTACTTGTATAAAACGATTATCCCTTTGCTAGCCCATTTGTGCTTAATCTTTTAATTTTTTTGTATTATAAGTTATATAATAAATCCATGGTCTAAAAACTTGTTATTACCCTCATCTCTTTAAAGTTAGGTAGTGAAAAGAAATATATATATATATATATATATATATATATATATATATATATATATATATATATATATATATATATATATATATATATATATATATATATATATATATATATATATATATATATATATATATATATATATATATATATATATATATATATATATATATATATATATATAGTATGCACAATTTTAAGTTTGAGGTTGCTCTTAAATTTTTTGACCAGGTGACTTCTAAAACAAGAGTATCCTTTTGAAATTCCAACTAAAACACGCTCGAGTTTTTCACAGATTTTCACATGATCAACCCATCAACTTTTTTAAAAACATGAGATTTTGCGTAGGATAAGTCCCAATATCCTTCCAGAAATAAATATTGATTTTATATGGACTTACTTAGGTTGAAAACTTAAAATAGAGCTTTTTTTTCCACATGCATATCTCAAAACTTGAACTAGAGTTTTTCACAAGCTTAACTCAAAACCTACACCCAAGATTTTGCAGAGGTTAAGCTTCTAACCTTAAAAAATATTACAAAGAGATCACAAGGGAACTATGCCCTTGAATAAATAATTCTAGCACAACAAGTTTTCAAATAAATTTTTTACTCTCATGTCATTAAAGCAACTTTAATGAAAAAGAACTTTAGAAAAGAAATGAGAGAAAGAAATATTGAAGAAGGCTTTTATTTAGAATACTGGTGTATATTAAAATGAGGAGAGGACTCCTTTATATAGAAAAATATTTATCTTAAAAAGAAAATAATACATGGGTCATTTTAATGATTTAATTGATTAAACTTATGTATTAATCAAGCTAAAATAGGAACATTGGCATTATACTCCACTTAATCGATTCGGACGCATTACATTATATTATAATTGATTAAATAAACCTCTTAATATATTATATAATGCATTTTACCTTCGGAATTGATAAAACAAAGCTTCTAATCAATTGCGCTTCCCCAAATTGAATTTAAGAAGCTTTATAAAAAGAGAGGATATTTGAAGACATTTTTTTGTGTATATGTGTGTGATTTCTTTAATATCTCAAGACTTACTCTTGTTTTTTTCCAATTAAACTGATTAGAACTAGAAAAATACTGAAACACGAGACGAGGTGAGCTTTCACACTTTCATATCTTCGAGTCCATAACTTTCAGACTTTAAGCTTTCATATTTTCAAATATCGCAAACTTCAAGATATTTTGCTTGTTTCAACATTGACTAGAAATTTCAATTTTATATTGATGTAAATGACTTATAAGGCTTCAAATATCCCTTTGTTGTTCGAATGCCTTCATCAGAAACCTTTGGAACAATTATCGTGATAAAAATCTTTTGACAATTGTCACCAACACTTAAAGGTTGTCATCAAGACTTGATAATTGTCATAATCAAAACCATTTAATTGAAATTATCTCCGCAACAAATAAAACCGCATAAATAACAACATTTAAGTTTGGGTGGCGCTCTGAATATATAAATGCAAAAATAAAGACTTAAAAAAATGTGTTGATAATAATATCCATTATAAAAAAACAATGGAAATAAAATAAAGGAAAAATACCCTTTTTTTTTGTCCCTTATCTTGTATTTAAAGTCCAGTTTAATCCCTTAACTTTTAAAAGTTTATTTTGGAGGCACAACAAGCATAGAGAAAAGCAGAATTCTGAGAGCTACTGGTTTTGAAGAGGGGAAACTGCCTTTCAAATACCTGGGAATTCCTCTCACTAGCAGGAAGCTTAGTATTAGTCTTTGTAACATATGGGTACTTTTTTCATTTTTATATTCTTCAAATTCAAATTTATCAGAATATCAAATTGATACAGAATTAGGGACTAAGGGTTCTATTAAATAGCAATTCCTTTCCTTGTATACTTCTTTAACTTCCTACTCCATTAGCAAATTCTGGGTTGGGTTTTAATAAGCATCGCTAAAATATTTCAAATACCAAATCTGGGTTTAAATAGAACCGAAATTAAAGAGCTATACAAAAATTCACTAAGCAAGAACATAATGAAACTTCCTTGGTATTTCGAGTACCAGATATGGGTTTTGGCAAAAAAAAACATTCCTTGCACCCAAGGGTTTCGATGAACGTGAAGACGAAATTGATCGTTGAAATTGAACAAAATCAACTCTAGTTTATTGAGCAAGAGCGTTTGTCGAAGGAGCTAGATGAGATTATGGGAAATTGCAGTAATTTCTATGTGCAAAAGGTTTTAGAGAAGATGAAGAACAACAAATTTTCTTTTATATATAATTTCAACAATTATTGAAACCCAATGTAAAAGAAAAATTAAAATCAAATTTGGGGCTTTTCTTTGCAAGTTGTTGGTGTGTCAAAGAATAATTTCACGTTTTGGACCTCGATTTTCTTTTATGGAAAGATATAGTTTGTCGTATACTGAAAATCCTTCAATTTTAAAGTTTGAAAACAAATCTAGAATAAATAGAATAAATTTGAGGATGAAGACGAAGATAAGAATTAAAGCCTAGAAAATATTGTTAGCGATCGTTTTTTCGTCGTTAAATTGGTCACTAAAGGTTATATAAGCCATCTGGCTTCCACGTCAGTGTCAAATAGTCTTATTATTTGATTTTGACTAACATAATTGACATAAAAAATTAACGTGATTTAATCTGTAGAGTTGAGGGATCAGAATGACAATTTTAAAAATTAAGAGATCAAAGTTGACTTTGAATACAAGATAAGGGACAAAAAAAAGTATTTTTTTTAAATAAAAAGAAAAATTAATCTTAAGAGAAAAAAGAAGTTCAAGTCTCTATAAGCTAATAACATCTGTTAAACTGTAGCCCGTGATAAAAATAAAATAAAAATTATATGATTGTAAAGATAAAATGCCTAAATCTAAATAATAAAGCCTACTTCCACAAAAGGTTATGTTACAATCCTAAATATCTCAAAAGTGTGTGTTACAATGATGATTTGATAGAGAATTTAGAAATTGTTGAAGTCTATGGTAGAATTGTATTTTCATGTTGATTGAGTGATAATACTGTTTTTTATTTGAGTGAATTTGTGAGAGAGTGAGAAAATTGAGCAGACCTAAAGTCGGATATATTTTGTTGCACTTAAAGTTTGAGAAGGGAAGTTGTACTTAGGCATGATCACGGAAGTACTTTGGTAACAGCTTCAAAATTAAAAGTAATCATTAGTCAGGAAAGGTTTCTATTTTACTATACATTATCATCTCTCAAGATTTTCCTTGAGGACAAGGTAAGAATCAAATTTGAGATTATGATGAAGCTTAATCACACTATCAATTTTAGTAGATTTTACATTGTTTTTTATTTTAATATTTTTGTATCATTTTATAAAAGGAATCAATTGTAATGTTGGAATTTGAAATCAACTCAAATAATTCTAACTAAACAAGTACATAATCCTCACACGCAGTGAATGTTGCATTGAAGAGAAGTGAAGTGAAGACGAAACATAAGTACATTAAAAGAGGAAGTTTCATGTTGTTAAATGTGGGATCATGTCACGATAAGATCAGTGATAAGTGTCAAATTGTAGTTATTTTTGTATATAATTTTGTGACATTTATCGATTTGTTTTGTATAAATTCTTTGAATAAACCTCAATTTATTTGTAAATACGTTTTTATTATATATAATCGTATATTTGAGTATATAGTGTATCATTTAATAATGTTTGTCTCTTTTGTTGGTATTAGAGCATGGTTAGAGCATTGAGCAATAAAGACCGAAGACAAAGTTCCAATATATGCATTTTCAGAATAAAAGTTCTTTCAAGCCCGCTAAGCTCATCTTATCGTTTACTGAAGCTCCTTCTGGATATTCTTGGGTTTCAAGATATCTCTTGACTTCGTGAAACCAAGGTTGGTCCACTACTTCTTCAGTATTAATCTCGTGACAGTGTGCTGGTTCATCCCTTCGTTCAATGGTGATCTGGGGAGCTTCATTATCTCATTTAAGTTTAAACATAGATGACATTGTGGCTAGTGCGTCTGCTAGCTGATTTTCTTCTCACGGGAAGTGCTCGAAGGTAATCTTATCAAAATGTGGGAGCAATGTCAAAACATGTTCTTTGTAAGGGATAAGGTTAGGGTGTTTAGTGTCTCATTCCCCTTTGATCTGGCTTATAACCAAAGCTGAATATCCGAATACATTCAAGGATTTGATCCCCAAGTCTATGGCAGCTTCGAGACCAAAGATGCATGCTTCGTATTCCGCCATGTTATTTATACAATTGAAGCAGAGTCTTGCCGTAAAAGG